AAACGGACCAGTGGATCAAAAGTTATTCACAGTTAATTATGATTGGAATTTTTAATAGTAAATTCCCAAAATCCGCCGATATGACTTTTTTTTTTATTAATTTATCTAAATGTTCACAATACGCAGTATTGTTATTGGCAAAATTCTGGACATGTTACAAAACATATTGTTAATAACTTAAAATTTTACGATGATGATTATTATTGTCCAGAGTGTAGCGGAGGACTCACATGTCTATGTCCGTTGATAACCAAAATTATGTTTTTGATGCATTATTACTAACAATATCAATAATGTAGTTTTGGTATTTTTCATCTGTAACGCCATGTATCTATATTTGCATGCTTGTGTAACAACAATATAAAAAAATTTTTTATGTGACAATATAATATTTATCTAATGCTCTGGACTTATACCGGTTTCCAGTTTCTAGTATATAATTATAGGTTTATATAATTTAGTGCAGTGTTGTACATTTTGACTGTCCAAAGGTTTTTTTGATACTGTTCAACATCCAAGTGTCCAAGTGTCTACAAGTGTTCAAAGCATGTCCAAGCTTTAATAATTAATAAATTTGTTTAAAAAATATATAATTATATATTTTTTTATGTGCTAAACATATTTTACTTAGAAATTAATATAGGTTATCTTAATAAAATTTTAAGTAATTTTAATTTATTTAATTGTCCAAAATTGTCCAAAGTGTCCAAACTTACTGTCCACAACTGTCTCATGATAACACTGATTTAGTGCATATGTGTTGTAATGCACTCACCTGATCGATCAATCAGATTGTAAAATCAGGTGTAATGTGAAATAAAAAAAATAGCAAAAATCATTTGAAATCATCTTTTGTATTCTAACAAAAAAAATTTTTTATAAAATTTTAGATAAAATTAATATTTATCTATAATTTAACCTTACTCTATATTAATACTAACCTTTATTCCAGAGTTGTGAATAGACAATAGACAAGCCAATAGACTCAATAGACAGTTTAATGGTTTAATAATATCAAATTAAGTTATTAGACAATAGACAATTTACTATATAATTTAAAACAATCTGATTGATTAATTTTAGATATTATTATCTTGTTAATTGGGCTGGAGCAAAGTAGAAGATCTTTAAGTCATACTTATAAAGATTTTGCTAATATTTAGTTTTTGTTTTTGTAAATATATTGCTAATAATCTCTTGTAAAACTTTAATTAGTAATCTAATCATTGAACAGAAAATAAAAAAAACTAAATAACTGATTAATACAATGCTTAACAAAAGTTTTCCCACACCTGTAATTTTTGAAAGTTTATATATAGAAGCATGAAATTTCATACAAGTATAGTATATTATATATACAGATTGTACTAAACTTCTTCAGGCAGTATATATAACAAAAATACTCATACTGCTTATACACAAAGTTCCAATCAAAAAAATATCTCTTCTTTTATATAAACAATATGAAATTACCTTTTTAACCACCCACCTGAAGAGTTCCAAGCTCTCAATATGTGAAATAGTGAAGCAGGTTCATTATAATAAAAAAACAGTATAAGAATAGATAAAAAAATAGCAAAAAAACAAAGATCTAAACAACAAACCAAGATTAGGCTATCAATAAGTTAGTACCAAAAGGCAAGATGATTAGATTTTAAAATTAGCAAAAAAGAATATTATTTTAGCACTATAAATCTACTGTGAGTTTTAAAACAGAATATAGACACTAACATGTGTACTATTTAATAGCATCTTGGTGAAGATAAAGCTCATTATTATAGAAAACTTGTGAAGCTTTGCTTAAAGAGAAATATAAAAAAAATAACTCTTGTAGACGAAGAAACATAAAAATTTTAACCAAAATTCTGTGATATTTACTGATGAAAGTATCTTTTACCTGAATTAATAGTTAAAAAGACTTAGCAGTTCGTTGGGACAAGAAAAATAATCTATTCCATCAAGCATCTATTGAAGCTTTATATATAGAGATATTTTTCTTTTTTCTGCTTTAGAAAATTAGTTTGCTTTAAATGGAACCTTAATATATAATATATGACTACTCTGTACGAAACAGCCTTTCTGCTTTTTGCTATAGATTTTTTTGATAAAAGTTGTGATAGTTAGATCTTGCAGAAAGACAATGAACTGAAGTATTATTTAAAAATCATGAAGATTTAAAAGGAAAAAAATGATATCCAAATTCTTCTCTGGCTGTCAATATTACTCGACCAAAACCCAATTGAAAATGTTTGAAAACTTATAAAAATAAATTTGGCAAAAAAAAATTAGAACACTTAGTTGTTTAAAAAGTGAAATAAGAAAGGAATAGAATTAATTATCTAAGAAGTATATAGCTAATTTGATAAGAAGTATAAGGTATTATATGGTGGTGATAGTAAATGACCTGAAATGATCCAAATAACTTAAATAACAAATGGCTAGTTATTAGGTCATTTCAAAATCCAAATAATCTAATAGGTCATTTGAATTTTATTAGTAGAAATAATGATTGACTACAACCCAATAATTTACTAGTAAAACCTTTTATAAGTGCACATACACTTTAAGCACATACTCAAATTCTGGCCTAAATTATATTTAACTTATATAATTATACTTTTTTTTATTGTTTATAGAAATTTTACTGTAATTCAAAAATATTAGCATGAGCTAGACTAGAGATGAGCAAGATATGCCTTACCTATTTTGTATATTATTGTTACAATTCACAATAATATAATTTAAGATCTAATTAGACTTATTTTGCAAATACTATGGTCTTTCTTATTTATCTATTACTATTATAATATAAAAAATTTTGTAGTAATAATGCATATTAACAATCACCTATCTCTAATTTAAAATCTTATTTTGTTGGTCAATGTAAATAAAAAATCTATATTAAAAAAAATATATAGCTTAATAATCTCATTCAATGATTATAAAAAGTTCTTTTTATATAATTAACCATTTCTCTTATTTAGTATGACTATATTGGTACATAATAAAAAGTTATTGTAATTTAAAGTCAGGTTAAAAATTATTATGAGTAAAGTGATTATTGAAAACTTTTAATATATAGTGTATAAAAAAAAATATGAACAATAAACCATCTTTGATTAAATAAGTTCTAAGACAATTAGCTAATTTTTTAACAGAAATTTATAAGAGACTAACAAGTCAAAAAATGATTCTGCCATTAAAAAATTATTTAATTAGTATATTTAACCTTCTAAATCTGTTAAAAATTATGAAATTATAGATAAGAATATTATATAACTTACTTAATAATAACTTCAAATTGTTGAATCAAGAAATGTCTTTGTTTCTACTACTATATTTATGTAGATCAATCACGATTCAGAATATTAAATAGTAATTTTTTTGAAACCTTATAATTTTTTTATAAAGCAAATATATAGTATAAATTTTAATTCATTCTTTATCTTAGTAATTACTAAAGGACAAAGGAAATAGATATATCTAATAAACCATTAAATAATTCTAACAAATTCTATTTGGCCAACAAATCATCTGCAGGATAAATAATATGCCTACAAAACTCAAATTCAGACAGTTCATTATCTACAATTTTATTATTTTCTAACTGATTTTTAAGATCTAATACGTCAACTCAGCTTTCAATTATATTTGATCAATTTTCTTCATTGTTATTATTATTAGAAGTTTCAGCATCAATTATTTCTCCACCAGTCATTTCAGTAGTCACAACTACTTGAGGTATTTTATTTTGTTTAATTGACAAATTATTAGGTTCAATTATTAGGTTGTTAAAAATTAGTAAGCTAACTTTATTGTTATTATTTATGAAAAAATTTTCTAATTCTTGTAGTATATCTTCATTATTGTAAGGTAGGATAGGGGCTACAATATGAATCCTTTTAAATTGTCATTCAGATTGTTTAATATTATTATGTTTCACTTGCTTAGTATATCACTGCGTAGTTAGCTCATTAACAAAACCTTTTCATACTTAAAATAAATTTTAAGTTAGTTATATAGACTTAAATTTGAATAATATTTATATATACTAGCAAACAGTTTTGTTGTTTTGTATATAAAAATCTCATCGCTAACTATAACTGTTTAACAGAAGCTGAATTAATGTATATTCCAAATAATTGTAAAGCAAGATGAAACAATTCTGGTGCCAAACCCTCTGCTGATTCCTAAAAATCAATAATATTTTCAAATTGATTATAAGTTTTTTTATCAAAAGGAAATATTTCTCTTTAATATGATAAAAATTTATACAAGATATGTGTTGTTGCTTTTTTAAACTATAAATGATAATAATAATTCAGCTATTGACCGAAATATGAATAGAAAAGAGCAGAGGCACAAAAAGAAAATTTTAAAAGCTGATATTTTGGATACAAAACAAATGATAATAGAAGTAAAGGTTGTTCTTATTGGGACCATCGATATTCTAAACGATTTACAATATGATCTGAAAATTTATTATCTTTATGATCTGCAAAGACCTTAACAAGCCACCCAAAATAGTGTAAAACTTTATATAGCTTTGCAATATCTTTTTGAAATTTATTTAATATATAGTATAAAAAAAATAACAAATCTTGAAGATCATAAAGCTGATTTCAAAAGTTGGAATTTTGTATAATAATTGTAATATCAGGTAGAAGTATCTTGCTTATGTTAGTATTTTCTAAAGCAAATCATTGTTATAATTGTCTGCTTCGCAATATACTAATTGTACTAATTCTTGTTAGAGAAAATTTTATTGCGAATATCTAATCATATAGAATAAATAAATAACTATATAGTCAACTCTGTTTATTCTGCAAAAAAATATACTTAAAGAATTTTATATATAAAATTTTTAAAAGTTCAGTTCTCAAAAAGTTATATATTGCTAATCTGAACTTTATAATAAAATTTACAAATGTTTTAGAGCTTTTTATTTGGTTTTCAGAGAATTTATTAAGTGTTCAGTTTAAAGAGGTTCAGTTTAAAGAGAGTTGACTGTATATTAATATTGTTATACTCTTGATCCACATTAATATTAACCTCATTAATATCAATCTAAACAACAAATACTTATTTTAAACATAGCTTCAGTTTTTAATATGAAATGAAAGCAAAAATAGATACTGTTCCAGTGTGTCTTAGCTGGTATTAAAAGAAAGATAAATTGTCTATAACATAATTTTTGCTTATCTCATAGCAATCTGATAAAATATAGTGATAAGTGAAAATAACTTACAACATGTATAGTATTCTGTAATGCTTTTTTATATATGTTGGACTCTTTGAAAATATCTCCAATAACTAAGTTCATTTGATGTGCTATACAAAGTATAAAAATCTTATTAGGATATTTGATTCTTTACTGTCATTTATGAAAAAAATTAAAGTATATATAATTAAGCAAATTAATAAATTAGAGATGTTATTCTGTTTTGTATAGTATAATTTTTAAATAACTTGTTAAAAATAAATTGGATAAATTTTTCTAAGTAATTTTGTTTAAAAAAATACTAGTAACAGGTTTGGTTAGTAGCAAAAAATTAAAAAATTATACTTGAAGTGAGTAATTGCTTTCAAGCAGTTTTAAGACAAACTAGTTTTATAATTGAGTTTTAAATAATAAAATCTATTTTAAATTACTAATTGCCATTAGTGAAGTATGTTCTTGTAAGTATTATTAATAAGTTTAATTAGTCATATATCAAAAAGTAATTATAGTAAAATGAGCAAATTTCATTAAGCAAATTTGAGCATTTTTAAGCAGGATAATATTTTATAATAAATGCTAAATACTACTAACTTTGCGGTAGCATACTTGCTAGCTGAATCTGATACATAGCAGTTAATTTTTATATCTTTCATTTCTGCATTATCTATTATATTTTTAATTAAAAGTTTTATATCTTCAGTTCTTGATCATTGATTACTAATATTTTGTGCATTTCAGACTAAAGCTCTATCTTAAGAAGTTATCAAAATAATACCGAAAAGATGCTTCTGCTTTATATTTGTCTAGCTATCAAAGGCTGCAGTTACTCCAACCTTGTCTGTTCATACACACTGTAAATTTTTTTCAATTAATATTGTTGAAGCTTTTAGAAGAATTCAATTACTTATCACTTGTTAATTAAGCAATTTTAATGTTGGCATAATAAATTTAAAGACATCTTGGGTCTCTTGGTTTTTCATAAAAATAAAAAGAAGACCATTTGATATGATCATACATAATACAAGATTTTTAAAGTACTAATTATCCTTGTCAGATAGTTAGTATACAATATAATAGTTAAAGGGTATTTGCTGTTTTATTTTTGGTAATGCAAATTTACTAGTTGATAAAATAGATTCATTTGTAGATAACAAATTGGATATTAAAGTCTCAAAAATCATAATAAAAGGTTCATCTTCTGACTTGGAATTATACATATCGACGAAATTATTTTGGAGTCCAAAACCCAAAATTAAAATTTGAAGATGAAATTGTTTTTGATCTATTTTACTTAAAAGATGAAATTTTTTAATACTTTTTTTAAAGAGATAAAATTATAAGGAACATAACTACCTAAATTAGATTTGCTCTTGCATATAAAAAATTCTAATTTGCTCTAATAGAGACGAAATAGGGTTTTTGAAATCCTATTTTGGTGGCATGTATACTCAGAATCATCCTTTCTTGCTATTATTAATATAAGTTATTAAAATATTGTAAAATGATATGCAATATTTAATATATTTATCTTTATTTTTTTTGGTGTCTTCAGATAATGATCGAGAAAAAATCTCTGTAATCTTATTTGTATTATACTGTTTATTAAAATTTAAACAACTTTGAAGATTATTTTGACATAATTTTGCTTTATTAGAAACAAAACATTCAGGTTTTATTATAGCAACAGGTAAAGTATATGCTCGTATACATGAAAAGCAAACTGCCTTTTTGTTTGCTTTTAGATTTTCAGATGCAGCCAAATAAAAAAAATTTTAAAAATTATGTTTCTTTTTACTTATCATAATTTCATGAGAAAAAAAAATTATAGATTTTGTGATACTATATTTATAATAATCACATAATATATCATATCTAATTTTTTTTTTTTTTTTTTTTTTTTTTGGTGTTAAGGTGGCCTCTTGGCCGGCTCCTTTTATTCGGTTATAGTTAACT